TCTGGTAGGACAGCGCTGGAGTGAAAGAGCCACGTTCAGATCACGGCCTTTAAGCTGTGTGAGAGGAACAAAGCGCCTTGACAAAGGAATTAGCATATAATTTAGCATTGAAATGGCTGAATGATTAGCTTGTGACTGGTCACAGAAATAGTTATGTTAAAAGTTAAAGCATACACATCCGCAGAGGCACCCCTTGACAATGGAATTAGCATAGAATTTAGCATTGAAATAGCTAAGTTAAAGCATACACATCCGCAGAGGCACCCCTTGACAATGGAATTAGCATAGAATTTAGCATTGAAATAGCTGAGTGATTAGCTTGTAACTGCTCACAGAAATAGCTACGTTAAAGTCAGACCATACACATTCACCGAGGCACTTAGTACAAATCAAACAGGAGAATTTAGCATTGAAATAACTAGGCGAATTTAGCATTGAAATAACTGAGTGATTAGCTAGTGACTGGTCACAGAAATGACTATGTTGAAGTCAAGGCCTACACATCTGAGCTATTCACAGTACTATATAGTGAACCAATAAAAACTAAAATATAAATTACCTTCATGTTATCAATAAACTCTATATTCTCCAATCAGCTAAGCTACCAACAATAAGTCGTTATATATCACAATGCTATATGGCGAAAAAATGGGTGGATTCTTATCCTCAACTTCAGCACCACGGATAGCTACGGGCCCCGTTCAGACGGACGAGTTCGTCCATGGTCGGAACAGAGGAGGGGGAGAGAGACAGCTGCGAGGCCCTAGTATACTCCATGTTGTAAAACCATACCATTAACCGTGGTGTGAGAGGTATTAAGAGGCAATGCTGGCGAAAGAGCTGCGGTCTGAAGGTCATCGTAAAAATACAATTAATTAAGAACAGAAATGATTTAAAACATCTTTCCAGTGGTTACTAAGCCAGAATCCATCTTCTCGGTTGAAATTGTCTCTGTGCTTGTATATGTGAATGGCCTCATGAACGAATCTCTCATGGTAGCCGGTTGGTTTGCAAAGAACCTCCGTCTTGGAGAAGTCAATGTCATGTGAGCCCACTGAATTATAACAGTGATCTGCCACGGCAGAGGAGTTTGTCCTACCGTGTTTCAAGTCTGCTTTATGTTCGCGGATGCGGTCCGAGATATGTCTTTTGGTTTCTCCAATGTAGCTACTACCACAGAGGCACTTTAGTTTGTAAACGCCCGGGTACTGTATGTCTGGAACAGCATCTTTTACAGATGGAACTAAATCACGGATTTTATGTACTGTGTTGAATCGGACCTGGATCTTGTGTTTATTCAGGATTTTGGAGATCTTTTTAGTGACCCCTGCAATGTAGGGTAAGGTGATGGTTTTGAGTGGCTCCACAAGAGGATCCTTCTTCATGACTGGAGTGATGGCTTTGCGGATTGTGTAGTCGGAGTAGCCATTAGCCCTGAGAGCCTGGTGTACGTGCTTGAGTTCACTGGTAATGTGTTCCTGGTCGGAAATGCATTGGGCTCTATGGTATAGAGTCTTGATGAGGGAGTTCTTCTGGGATGGATGGTGGTGGGAATCCGGTTTCAAGTAAGCATCTGTATAGGTAGCTTTCCTGTAGACAGAGTGGCTCATTGAACCATCATGTCTCCTTTTAATTAAGACATCCAAAAAGGGTAGTTTGCCATCTTTTTCGACCTCCATGGTAAATCTGATGGCTGGGTGTATGGAATTGATGTGGTCGCGGAATTGGTCTAGAGCAGGCTGGCCATGTGGCCAGATGACAAAGGTGTCATCCACGTAACTCTTCCATAAGTTCGGGTGTAGAGTGGCAGTCTGTATGGCGTCAGTTTCAAATGTTTCCATGAATACGTTGGCTACAACCGGAGATAGGGGGGAGCCCATTGGGGTGCCCTCAGTTTGTTTGTAGAAAGTTCCATTCCAGGTGAAGTATGTGTTGGTTAAGCAATGTCTCACCAGGGGCGGTACATCAGTATGCAGTCCTTGATGAACCAGGTCATCAATGATAGCGATGGTGTCAGGTACCGGGACTTTGGTGAACAAGGACACCACATCAAAACTGACAAGCAGGTCGTTTGGGGACAGGGAAATGCCTTTGATTGTCGATACCAGGTGAGTAGAATTTAGTACCGCAGAGGTGTTTTTCCCAGTGAAAGGTCGCAGTATATCAGCAAGAAAACGTGCCAGTTTGTAGGTGGGGGAGCTGATAGTAGAGACGATGGGACGAAGGGGTGTATCTTCTTTGTGTATCTTTGGAAGGCCATATAATCTTGGTGGTCTGGCAGCAGAGGGTTTCAACGAGAACTGTTTGATCTCATCAATTAATGCTGTTGAATCAGAGATGATTTTGTTCGTTTTGGTGACCAGGCTGTTGGTGGGATCTCTTTTTATTTTTGTATAGCTGCCTGGTCACCAAAACGAACAAAATCATCTCTGATTCAACAGCATTAATTGATGAGATCAAACAGTTCTCGTTGAAACCCTCTGCTGCCAGACCACCAAGATTATATGGCCTTCCAAAGATACACAAAGAAGATACACCCCTTCGTCCCATCGTCTCTACTATCAGCTCCCCCACCTACAAACTGGCACGTTTTCTTGCTGATATACTGCGACCTTTCACTGGAAAAACCACCTCTGCAGTACTAAATTCTACTCACCTGGTATCGACAATCAAAGGCATTTCCCTGTCCCCAAACGACCTGCTTGTCAGTTTTGATGTGGTGTCCTTGTTCATCAAAGTCCCGGTACCTGACACCATCACTATCATTGAAGACCTGGTTCATCAAGGACTGCATACTGATGTACCCCCCCTGGTGAGACATTGCTTAACCAACACATACTTGACCTGGAATGGAACTTTCTACAAACAAACTGAGGGCACCCCAATGGGCTCCCCCCTATCTCCGGTTGTAGCCAACGTATTCATGGAAAAATTTGAAACTGACGCCATCCAGACTGCCACTCTACGCCCGACCTTATGGAAAAAGTACGTGGATGACACCTTTGTCATCTGGCCACATGGCCAGCCTGCTCTAGACCAATTCCGCGACCACATCAATTCCATACACCCAGCCATCAGATTTACCATGGAGGTCGAAAAAGATGGCAAACTACCCTTTTTGGATGTCTTAATTAAAAGGAGACATGATGGTTCAATGAGCCACTCTGTCTACAGGAAAGCTACCCATACAGAAGCTTACTTGAAACCGGATTCCCACCACCATCCATCCCAGAAGAACTCCCTCATCAAGACTCTATACCATAGAGCCCAATGCATTTCCGACCAGGAACACATTACCAGTGAACTCAAGCACGTACACCAGGCTCTCAGGGCTAATGGCTACTCCGACTACACAATCCGCAAAGCCATCACTCCAGTCATGAAGAAGGATCCTCTTGTGGAGCCACTCAAAACCATCACCTTACCCTACATTGCAGGGGTCACTAAAAAGATCTCCAAAATCCTGAATAAACACAAGATCCAGGTCCGATTCAACACAGTACATAAAATCCGTGATTTAGTTCCATCTGTAAAAGATGCTGTTCCAGACATACAGTACCCGGGCGTTTACAAACTAAAGTGCCTCTGTGGTAGTAGCTACATTGGAGAAACCAAAAGACATATCTCGGACCGCATCCGCGAACATAAAGCAGACTTGAAACACGGTAGGACGAACTCCTCTGCCGTGGCAGATCACTGTTATAATTCAGTGGGCTCACATGACATTGACTTCTCCAAGACGGAGGTTCTTTGCAAACCAACCGGCTACCATGAGAGATTCGTTCATGAGGCCATTCACATATACAAGCACAGAGACAATTTCAACCGAGAAGATGGATTCTTGCTTAGTAACCACTGGAAAGATGTTTTAAATCATTTCTGTTCTTAATTAATTGTATTTTTACGATGACCTTCAGACCGCAGCTCTTTCGCCAGCATTGCCTCTTAATACCTCTCACACCACGGTTAATGGTATGGTTTTACAACATGGAGTATACTAGGGCCTCGCAGCTGTCTCTCTCCCCCTCCTCTGTTCCGACCATGGACGAACTAGTCCGTCTGAACGGGGCCCGTAGCTATCCGTGGTGCTGAAGTTGAGGGTAAGAATCCACCCATTTTTTCGCCATATAGCATTGTGATATATAACGACTTATTGTTGGTAGCTTAGCTGATTGGAGAATATAGAGTTTATTGATAACATGAAGGTAATTTATATTTTAGTTTTTATTGGTTCACTATATAGTACTGTGAATAGCGCAGATGTGTAGGCCTTGACTTCAACATAGTCATTTCTGTGACCAGTCACTAGCTAATCACTCAGTTATTTCAATACTAAATTCGCCTAGTTATTTCAATGCTAAATTCTCCTGTTTGATTTGTACTAAGTGCCTCGGTGAATGTGTATGGTCTGACTTTAACGTAGCTATTTCTGTGAGCAGTTACAAGCTAATCACTCAGCTATTTCAATGCTAAATTCTATGTTAATTCCATTGTCAAGGGGTGCCTCTGCAGATGTGTATGCTTTAACTTAGCTATTTCAATGCTAAATTCTATGCTAATTCCATTGTCAAGGGGTGCCTCTGCGGATGTGTATGCTTTAACTTTTAACATAACTATTTCTGTGAACAGTCACAAGCTAATCATTCAGCCATTTCAATGCTAAATTATATGCTAATTCCTTTGTCAAGGCGCTTTGTTCCTCTCACACAGCTTAAAGGCCGTGATCCGAACGTGGCTCTTTCACTCCAGCGCTGTCCTACCAGACAGTCTCGTCCCTTCACCTGATGAAGGCCGCTTGTGTTGTGGCCGAAACGTCGTGAGAATATTATTGTGTTATTTTATTTGATCAATTTATTATTTTATTCTCATTCTACGTGACTTTACCGAAAGAACCAAAAAAGATGAATCATTGCAGTCACGAAAGCTTTAAATCGAAAGATACAGTTCTTATAATTAAGATTATTATGCATGAACTTAGGAAGGAACCACTCAGACTCTTATATGTTAAGCAACTTTAATATCTAAAAACACTAACACTTATGATCAGAATCGCCAATACCGTACTCCTGAAGCTGTCCTACTCATTGATCCGTACAATTAACTGTCAATGGTTACGTTTGTTAAAACTGAGTAACACAACAATCAGCTAACTCCTCCGAGTAGAGCGACCATACACGGCGATAGGAAAAGTCCGTAAAAATGTATACTACTCATACGAAACATGCTAAAGAAACATGTGCCCAATGGCAAAAGTAGACACCAATGAATTAATTTGTAAGATTATGCAAATAACGAAATGTCCTGAAACAATAGTGTGAGTGCTAGTGTGCCTATTTGGCTAACAGATGCTTATCAATTGGCGATTGAGACATCAATGAATTTGCGGGCAAGATTCTGTGATCAAAAGAAAAATCTCAACACAATAGTATTCCTGTGAGTGTGTAGATTCGTAACATAGATGCTTATAAATGATTAGTGTTTCATCAATTAATTCATTGGTAAGTTTATGCAATTCAACGTCACGTTATTTTTATTAAAGGCCTGTGACAAACGTGAATCTATTGGAGCTTCATTGTCTCAAGAGTCCACATCTACAGGGTCTCCATTTGAATTTATATTGTCGAGGAAGTCCACCCATACCTCCACTTCCACAAACTGCTGGGCGTTGCCTCGCTCTGCCTCACAGTCCGAATTCTCCTCCTGCTTCACGTTGCCTCCATGAATGTGAAGGTCTGATTTTGGAGTTGAATCTTCATCTTCACATTTTACCTTCACTTCTTCGCTCTTCACCATCACTTCTTCACATTTCACCTTCACGTCTTCAAATTTCACCTCGATACATTTCATAGTGTCCAAGCTGGAATTTACTTCTGGTTCTTTTTTCAGTAGGGATGGGCTCATTGCAGCACTTTGACTTTCACAAGTCGATTTCAGACTACACTCCTTGGGGATCTTCTGATGCCTGTGTGTTCTCTGGTGTCTATGAAGATTTGATAACTGTGAACACGCCTTGCCGCACAGCGTGCACCTAAAAGGTTTCTCTCCTGTGTGTGTTCTATGGTGTTTTTGAAGATGTGATGACTGTGCAAATGCCTTCTCACACACACTGCACTTGAAGGCTTTCTTTCCTGTGTGTATTGTCTGGTGTTCTTTAAGAACTGATGACTTTGCAAACGCTTTATCGCACAAAAGGCACCTGAAGGGTTTCTCTCCCATGTGTGTTCTCTGGTGTCGTTTAAGAAGCAATAAACCCAAAAATATCTTCTCACACACACTGCACTTGAAGGGTTTATCTCCAGTGTGTGTTCTCTCGTGTTTTTTAAGGGCAGATGATTCTGAATATGCCTTCCCACACACATTACACCTGAAAGGTTTCTCTCCTGTGTGGATTCTCTGGTGTCTTTTAAGGGCAGATGATTCTGAAAATGCCTTCTCACACACAGTGCACTTGAAGGCTTTCTCTCCTGTGTGCGTTCTCTGATGTATTTTAAGATGTGTTGACTGTGAAAATGCTTTCGCACACACAGTGCACTTGAAGGGTTTCTCTCCAGTGTGTGTTCTCTTGTGTTTTTTAAGGCCAGATGAATCTGAATATGCCTTCTCACACACACTACACCTGAAAGGTTTCTCTCCTGTGTGTGTTTTCTGGTGTCTTTTAAGAACAGATGAATCTGAAAATGCCTTCCCACACGCACTACACCTGAAGGGTTTCTCTCCTGTGTGTATTCTCTGGTGTTTTTGAAGAACTGATGACCATGCAAATGCCTTTTCACACACAGTGCACTTGAAGGTTTTCTCTCCTCTTTGAGTTCTCTGGTGCCGTATCACACTTCCAGTACAATCCATGCTGTTTGCATTCTGGTCCCATTGTTTTTGCTTTTTACCGAGCTGCGCTGAGTGCCTTTGCTCCATCAGACCAATTCTGCAGAGGAAGCGTCAGAAGAAGCGTCAGCTGCAAACAGAAAAAAATATACACACCATCTACGTCAGTATCGAGGCACAGAGGAATGAATATATACACAGTCACACATGACTTACACGTTTATATTTATTCATATATTCAAGATATTCCCCAATTCATCACACGGGCTGTTAAGGCACACAATGAGAGGCCAAATGGTTAGAAATATGCCTGGAAGCCCTAGTATCTTCAAAATAAATGTTAACCCAAAACACCAAGCACACAATTTCGGCTGCCTGGCTGAAAAAGTAGTATTTATAAAAGCAAAATTCAGCTAACATAGCAAAGGCTGTTGAAAATAATACTATTTGTATTATGCAGAAATGCATAAATTAATGTTCAATCGCAACTTAGATGTGTGAAGCCAGGCTCCAATTTGCTTGAATGCTCGGATGAACAGATCTAACTTCAGCTGCATATATGCTGTGTTAATTTCCTGACTGTTTCCATTCTTACAAAAAGTTGCAGAGGAAAACTAAAATAAACTATTGTTTTGATTTAACCTCCATGTTCAATAGTTAATATCATTTACTGCAAATACAAAGTTGACACTGTGACACACTGGCATTGTACAAAGGTGGTGGTGTGTCCAGAACCATGCCTGGCCAGCTTCATCTGCTCAGTATTAATGCTTCCTCACTTCACCATGTAATTAATTTAAGATCAATCAACATAGCAGAGGCCCACAATAAGTTCAGCTTTCACTTATCAATCATGTTTGCTGTCAGCGATAATCAAACTAATTGCTGAGTTCATAATTCAGTTAAATAAGTGCACCACAGCTCCCAACAAAGATAAACTCTTAAATACACGTACATTTCACATGCATAATAAACATATATAAACACAACATCCACCATTCATGACGAATTGCAAGTAAACTTATCCCAGTGCTAATGCCATGATAGATGCAATTTAAGTCCATGTAAGTGTGGATTCCTTGTCGGCAGGTAATGATCCAGGTGTAAAGGGAAGACTGACAGATGAACCAGCTGTGCTCCCCACTGTCTTGCTGGGTTTTAGGAATCCAGCGGTCTACCTATTCATGTGGGCATCACTCTTTCGACCCCATCGTTGTTGCAGAGCAAATATCTATTAATTGCCCTGCAGCATACCTCACGGGCCTCCTCCACTGAGGCCAATCTTGACACTCCCGGTACCAGTCATCAGCAGGTCCGACCACCTCCACATCCTTCAATCTCTTCTTTAGCCAATGCCATGCCTGTTCAGCCCCTAATATCTGGACAAACAAAAGATGCTTGAGCATGCAGTGTCTGGGAATGTGGGATTCATGACCGAACCAATGTAGCCTCACCTGCCAAAGAGACTCAAGATTATATTCTAAATTGATATCTTAAGGATCTGTAAGCTTATAATACAATATAGTCTGGTTAAATAGAGAATTAATCATAGGCAGGCTAGCCTTCAATGTATAAGCCAGCAGAGATGGTAATTTAAATAAGTTAATATTCTGAATGCACACAGTAATATCTGTGGCCAAGAAGAATCACAGCTTTGTTCGTTAGTATCTAAAAAACGCTTGTCCTGGTGAGGGTCGCGGTGGCAGCATGCTGAGTAGGGTGGTCCAGGCCTCCCTTTCCCTGGCAACAGACTCTAGCTCAATCTCGGGAATTCCCAAGTGTTCCCAGGCCAGCTGAGCTACATAGTAATGCCAGCATGTCCTGGGCCAGCCCCGGGGTCATCACCCAGTGGGACGTGTCTGGTAGAGTTCCAGGGGGAGTCTATTGGGGGGCATCCTTACATATATTCTATATTGATATCACCCCTAGAGCCAGACCCATGGGTTGTGTTTGCCAACAAGCGCCTTGTGGCTGTGTGACCCACGTAACTCAGTGGCTACGTGGTGCCATCCTGTGCGTCGAACATCCGCAGGATGAAGGGTGAGGGGCGGGTGCCATGCCAGTATGGCAGGGAGATGGATGGTCTCAAGACAGACTAGACCTTGGAGATGGACACTCACAGCTTTGTATGGAGCAAAAGTCCAGGCACCTTCCACACAGTGTTACAGTCTAATGAAAGAATGCTGCTCGACAAATTTGAAATGAGACTTTGGCTGCCAAACCAGGGCTGGTCGTGAACACATTAACCAGGTATGGGAGCTCCTCCAACACTTGTATAACTGCCTGATTATTCATGGTGAGTTGAGGAGGTGCAGTGTTGTATGACATGACATTCCCAGGCAGGTGATTTATTTATGTGGAACATTTGCAAGGTCCCATTCCATGATGGAATTATCAAGGCACAGAACAAGATTCCCGAATTCCATCTCATTGAGTAGCCATTAGCAAATAATCAGATGTAACATGGTTGACCAGCAGGAAACGATCCTTTAACTAAAACCAGGCATCAATTAGCGTATAATTGTAACCATAACGAATGTAATTGTTTTTATATGACCATTGGGAGCTTCTCAAACTACATAGTTATTGAAGATGCTATGTAATGCATGGGGCCAGCATGAATTTCTGTCACAAGCCAATTTTAACAGGCAATGGCTCTGACTCCTGGTCACGCAGCTTTAGACGGGGCTGCCCAAAATCATACAAATCCTCAGTAAATGAGAGCAGAGGCATATATTTGGAAACAAATAACAACCCAAAGCCCCAAGCCTCTTTGTGGTACCATAAGCCTTAATTAAATCAAGAAAGCCGAGAACTATTTTCTGCTGAAAATTGATAATTCTGCTGTAGTCGATGACAAAAATACAGCAGCTCCTCGCATATCGCGGAAGATACGTTTTTGGAAATTGCAAAAGCTAAAAGCGCGATATTCAATACTTAAGCCTTACCTAATGGCATTAGGTAAACGTCAACTAAAGTTCACATCACAATTGAAATAAGTACTATACTGTATTCCCCATAAACTAAACAATTTAAATAAACACGGAGAAACAAACAAAATAGTATAAATCTTTAAATGATAAAGCAGACTTTGCGCCAACACACCTCAAACTTTCCATGCGTACGCACGGGTGAGTTCGTGTGTTTTTCGCACTATTTTTAGCTTACCTGCTCACCTTCAACACCTGTAGTACCACCTGCACACCCTCCCCCCCCCGCTGCTCACCTCCCCCCCGCTCTCTCTCTTGCCATGTGTTAAAGCTTGGGGCATTCTCACAACTTCTGGTTTGCCACACATGCAAGCACATTATGACATTTCATTTTCTACAAATCCACGCACTCACCATAACATACGTGTCTCATATTTACCACATTATCCTTCCCTATTATCAGCCCTGCGTTTTTGCCGCCAAATTCATCCACTTCGGGCTTACTATCCTCTCTGCATGTGCACGGCTCACCTATAATACACACTGCAATATTTATTAAAAAAACATGTACTATTCTAAAATATTTACATCTATGTACCAGGACTACCGTTCTCCTTCTACACAACAACATAGATGCTATAGAACAGCTACGACTAAATACGTCAAGTCTACATCGCCTGGTAAGAAATAAAAAGCATGCAAATACATGCACTCGCGTTAAAATAATTATATATTTACACACCACCACAGACATACTATTAATACCCACATCAAGCACTACAATTACTTTGTTCCTTTGTGGCTATGTCTTCACATTCCTACGATTACACATTCAACTATCATTTCCGTAATCTCTATATAGCATTCACTCACGCAATATTTACTCTTATTATGCTTAATAACTTTGACCTCCACCGATAATGTCCCTCGCAGAAAACGTGTGCGCTTGTCAATATCTGTGACAAGGGACAAATTGCAGGTGATGGTGGAACCCAAGTAGGTGAAGTCCTGAGCGACTTCCAGGGTGTAGCTGCCAATGTTTATGGAAGGGGTGTCTCTGACACCCTGGCCCATGACATTGGTGTTTTTCAGACTGATTGTCAGGCCAAAGTTGTTGCAAGGTGGTCGATGAGTGTCTGCAGACCTTGTTCTGTGTAAGCTGTCAGCACGGCATCATCAGCAAATAGGAGTTCTCTGATGAGGACTTTGCGGACTTTGGTTTTGGATCCGAGACGGCCAAGGTTGAAGAGTTTGCCATCAAAGGCATGTGTGAGCATAAGTGAGAAAAATATGCCAGTGTTGGGACAAGCACGCATCCCTGCTTTACACCGCTGAGTATGGTACATTCCTCTGAGGTGGTGCCGCTGTGCTGTAGTTCCTTTTATGTTGTCATGGAAAGAGAAGACTGCCAGCAGCTTCAGTTGGCAGCCAATCACTTTGAGGAGTTTGAAGAGGCTTCCCCTACTGATGAGATCAAAGGCTTTTGTAAGATCAAAGAATGCCAAGTACAGGGGCATTCTCTGTTCTCGACATTTCTCAAGTAGCTGATGCAAGGAGAAGAGCATGTCAATTGTGGACCTTCCTGCTCTGAAACCACACTGAGCCTCAGGATACATCCTCTCAGCTAGTATCTGTAATCTGCTGACCACACGGGCAAAGGTTTTCCCCATGATGCTCAGCAGGGAGATGCCGCGGTAGTTATTGCAGTCCCTGCGGTCACCCTTGTTTTTATATAGGGTGATGATGTTGGAGTCTCTCATGTCTTGAGGCATTGCTCCTTCCTCCCAGCACTGGCAGATAAGTTCATAGAGTTTCGTGAGGATGGCGGGTTTCGCACATTTCAGTACCTCAGGTGTGATGCCGTCCTTTCCCGGGGACTTGCCGCTGGCTAGTGAGTTGATGGCGGTGTCAAGTTCCTTCAAGGCTCGAACATTGTCCAGTTCGTGTATCGTCGGTAGGGGCTTTACAGCAGCAAGGGTTTTCCTCGGGATCCTCCTGTTTTTCCCTCCACATTAAGAGCCAACATCACCACGTGTTTAGAGTATTTGACCGATATACATTTCCACACGTTGATAAGCCACTTTGTTGTGGGCAGGTCGCTTCTGAAAAAGAGCGGTATAGCTCAAGTGGGCTTGGCCTTGGTAAGATTAAAAACTGTAGAAATATTTAAAAGAAACAAAGTTTCAAAGTAGTGAGCCAGGTGAAGACAAATTAAACTTAAGCAGAGAATTAAAGCAAATGCAACCAGGCGAGGGCAGGAGGCAAGGCCCCGCATGGCTAGGCCCCGCATGGCTAGGCCCCGCGTTGTAATGTTCCAACCTGGACATCGATTCCATCCTCGCTGCTACTCAATTGATATCCCTACGAGAGAGAGAGAAGGAGCGAGGCTCTACCTGGGTAAACAACAACAACCACGACAACAACCACCACGATGTGAACTTCTCACCTCGGATCTCAGTGAGCGCTGGCGCGCAGATCGGCAGCTTCCTGGTATATCGTCACGTCACGCGGCAGCAGGAGGTGACATGCCGTCACGTGCAGGGTGCAACACACTCCCCTCCCCAATGTTCGGCGGTGTAGCTTAATAAATTATGTTAATGAATTAGGCCCACATGTGAGTGAACTCGTGGTGGAGGGGGGTTGGGGGGGGGAGTGAAAACCTTGGTGACATGACGTCACTAGCGGGTTCCACCTCCCCCTCGCGTCTCACGCCGATGAGGTAATGCGGAGTTGTGACGTCAGAGAGCGGGGTTATAGTTTAAGTGTATTTAGGTTCTTATTCCATTGCTCCCTCTTCTCTTGAACATGGACCCCTTGGGTGCGTGAGCTCAACAACAACGTGAACATTATTGTGTGTGTCCACTGTGTATACACTGCGTGTACTGTGTACAAACTGTGTATACACTGTGTGTACTGTGTGTGTATACAAACTGTGATGATCCCCACAATGTTTATGTTTTTGTTTGTTGCGGTTGCACCTGATTCAAGAGCCGAATGGCTCACAGGGCTATACCAAATAAATGAAACTGAAAAATGAACCACGATCCCTGTCGGGTCTCCCCCTTATTTCCCTGGCTGCGGTTTCGCTCCGCCCTCGGCCAACCCCCCTGCTGTATCAAGTCAGGAGCTCTTGGCTCCCTGTCACGTGTCCCTCAAGCCTCCTAGGGAGGTTCCTAGCGCTCAGAAACACTCCTAAAATAGTGGCTGGTTCTAACACTATCTTGACAGTATTTGTGTCACTACACTCATACGGAGCCTTCTCTTCATGAGTCCCGGGCACATGTCTAATTTACGGAAATATAACTTCCAAAATACATTCAGTAAAATAGCACAATTACCCTACTGAGTGAAATTGTCTAAAAGGCTGAGCAGGTGGCTTTGGTGATACTTGTGGTGTGCGCCCATTGACCAGTTGATCCCATGGAGGGACTGGAAAAGGCTATACGAGGGACCAGCACTTGTGAAATTGAGTCTAGACAGATTTGTATTCAGGAGTGTGAGACAATGTGGTTGTATAGCATTCAGGTTATTCACAGGCTTCACTCATTACATGAATGCATACGGGCTTGGCATCATCCAATCAGAGAAGAGCTTGCTGTACATCTGAAGTATTTTGAGTGCAGAAGTGTAATAGTTGGAATGCAAAGTATTTTGCTGCCTTTACAAATGTATATTTGAGATCGTGTTTTAACGGTTACATATGAAATTATTCTTATTTATAAATGTCATTTTTCGTCTGCCTGTCTGTGTTCACGCACTTGCGAGAGATTTGGCTCTCAAACGGTGGGGTTTACGTAAAAAAATTTTTTTTGCCAGGTACCACGCCGAAAGTCAGTCACGTGCATTCGGTGGGGGGGGCGGACCCTGCCAAGTGAAATGCGTTCCGTGGGGCTGGGGGGGACATTTTCTTTTATGCGTTTTACATGCAATAAATATACACAACGCTGCGGGTATTTCTTCACAGTGTAATATCCTCTTTGCCCCCCCGCCCCCAGCAACACGATGCATGCAGTTTATACTACAGACTCTTTAGATAATTAAATTATAGTGCTTAGATAGCCTTATTGTTGCACGGCCGGGGAGATGGTGGAGGGGGGTGTTGTATACGGCCCTTTTTCCACTATTAATATAAATATTTGCCGAAATATTTTTTAATAGTAACCGAAATAAATAAATAACACCCGCTACGACAAGGACCAGCAAACAGCAGCTGGAGATCGTAAAAAGCCTGTTAAAACTAAGTAAATAATAAACTCCGGGGCAAAGGAAGGTTCGCGACTATCTGCAGAACCTCCAGATTGTCAAAGGACGATTTCACAAACAAACCTACTTGATGTAACACGGCCGCCGGGGTCACCAAGAGGGAAGGGGCAATTCGAGACTTCAAGGACCCCCCCCCTCCGTCAGCCCGCAGACATAGTGACGCCAGCATACAAGCAAGTTAAATAGGTTTCCTCTTATTTGCTATTAAAACAACGGTTAAAGTTCAAAATTCAACAAGAATAAGCTAACATTATCGATCCTCACACTCACTCCAATTAAAAACCAGGCCACAATCTACATCAGTGAATCATTACCCATTTATTAATTCGATACTAAATGTCATTTGCACCTTTAATAATTTTCTACACAACCTGACCGAAGCGTCAAGAATAATCCTGGCAGTCCGAGTTATGCCTAAGTCAAAGCGAATTCTCTAACCTCAGGACATCAGGTATAAAATAAAGTAAATGACTCAGGCATGGTAGCGCGGACCCCCTGGATACAGGCGGAGCAAAAGTTAATACAATGTCAAATCACAAATCTTGGGGAACATTAACAACAATAATGATGCAGTGTTAAATCCAGGGTTATCCAGAAGGGATGAGATAAACGGCTCAAGCTCACGAAACCAGGATAAACTGTGTTCCAGAGACCCCGGCCGCATTTGCCTTCCCGCAGCGCGGGAGAGCAGGAGTTAACACCAGAGCCAAGGAATTATCGCAGGGGCCATCTGCGCCCAAGGAAGAGCGATGACTTAATAAACAACACACACACCCACACACACCAGAGAGACGGCAACACCCCCGCACAAGCAGAGAGGGATCAAAGGGGAAGGGGGTGAGAAGGAACTCCCTAAAGCTCCGCAGCTGCCAGCGAAACCAAGCAACAAGTTTTAGTTAAAGAAAAAATTACAATACATGTCACATAACATTAATGCTAACGCTATTCACCTTAAATTGCTATATACCTTGCCCGCTACCCGACCTTGCAAACACCAAGGAGTACGAATTCCAACCATCGAGAGGCTTACCTCTTGGCTCAGGATATCGGAAATAAAATATCAATGATAAAGCATAAACACGGAATGACGAAAATTAATCAATCCTGAGGGTCAGGATGACAGGGTAAATCACAAACCTTGTTAAACATAAAACCAAATATTTGAGCGACGTTAAACCTAGGGCTAGCCAGAGAAAGAGAACATCCCGGCCGCCTTTGTCTTCCCGCAGCACGTGATAAGAATATGCATACGCTCAAAAGAGCATCTTCCCTTGAAAATAAATCAAACACCACGATGGAAAAACTACCACAACAGACCTTGAGTCACATACAGAATCGTAACTGCGAGTGATACGGTACCAATATGATAGAATAATTGTTAACTTTAAAAGCCTTAACCAACCCTTTGTGCGTCGGAAAAGGTCATGCCGGGGGGAGAGGGCTCGACCGAAGGAGGCCCGCCCCTCCCTCCAGATTGTATAATGCAGACAGAGGTACGCCTTCGGGACGATTTGAAGCATATGGACTCTTGATGGCGGGATGTCTTGAGGGAGGGGACGAAACCATGCTTTGACGACTCATTACACCCATAAATGACACACACATGCACACACATACAGACACGCACACCCCATACCAAACTAAATTTTCCCATAAGAAATAAAGGGAAAGGAAATAATCCGTTCCAGAGTATAAGAAATTATATTTTATATGGCATATTAAACATCAATGGGGTTGTATAACATAATTTAGACACTACTTATTACTAAAATGCAAACATACATTAAAATAAATATGCAAATAAATTTAAATAAATTGAAATAAAAATAACATGAAACGTCACTTTACCTTGCTGAGAGGAGTTGATAGCCTACGAGGATGGTGGTGAAGAAAGGGAGATGTTATTTTTTGGAAGGAGAGTCCCCTTCCATGAAAACTTCAGGAAGCTGAAATTCTGGGATTCTTTCTCTCTCTCTTTTCTGTCTTTTATCTTGACTTGGACCTGGTTGAGGCTTACCAGGTTTGAGTTTTACTAAAAAAAACCTGTTCATTGAAGTTTGTTTTGCCTTCTTCTAAGAATGTTCCTGAAGTGTGACATTGTCTGGTCATTCCACACAATACTGTTACGGCTTGTTAAGAGCTTTATTGGGGGTGGGGTATACGCGGGTACTGTACGCGGTGACCCATACAAGTTCTAGCAAGCGCGTCGTATCCCAAGACATTTTTTTCTCGTCAAAACACGACGTATTCCAAAGCGGGTGTATACCGAGGTACCACTGTACTACAATTCCACGCACTCACCATAAGTGTCTGCACTGCACTGCCATATTTTTTCTCATTTACCACGTTATCCTTCCATATTATCAGGCCTGCATTTTTGCCACAAAATTCATCCACTTTCGGCTCCTGACTGTCCTCTCTGCACACCTCTAATATACTGCAATATTTATAAAAACCACGTACTATTCGGAAATATCTACATCTAAGTACCAGAACTACCAACGTCCTTCTACACAACAGATGCTATAAACAGCTACGACTAAATACATCAAGTCTACATCGGAATAAAACGCATGAACATACACACACCCGCGTTTACATAATTATACATGTACAGTAAAACCTTGGATTGCGAGTAACTTGGTCTGCGAGTGTTTTGCAAGACGAGCATTTTTAAAAAATATTAGTTTGATAAACGAGCGAGGTCTTGCAATACGAGTAGTACGTATACGCTTTGTCTGCCGAGCGTCACGTGATCACAACTGATATACGAGTGCTTTGATATAGAAGTGCTTTGGATTACAAACACGTTTCCGGAACGAATTATGCTCGCAATCCAAGGTTTTACTGTACACACACCACCACCACAGACATACTATGCATACCCACTTCAAGCACTACAAAAATTACTCCCTGCAACAACTTACATCCTTTATACTTCGTTCCTTTGTGGCTATGTCTTCACATTCCTACAATCCGACTATCATTTAATTAACAATCTCACCACATCATTCACTCGCACACTATTTACTCTTTTTTCTGCTTACTAACTTTTACCTCCACCGAAAATGTGCCTTGCGGAAAACGCGCGTTTCTCTTCACCAAACGCGATAATAATTGATGCCATTCGTACAAGTGTTGCAATGGCTGCACCTACAGCTTATGAAACTCCAGTACAGCAAGAAGCAAGCGGCCAGTGCTGCTTTGCCTGCATCTACATAGAATGCAACTCAACAGCAATGAGATACACAGAATACTAACACAGAACAAATGGCTGCTGCCACAACTAATCAACCCCAGTCCACCATGAAGCTAGGCAGCTTGAAAACAGCACAATGGCTGCAAACAGGTGCCTACTCTGCAGCCAAAGGGGCCGTCCATAAATGACGTCACGCGATTTTGGACGATTTTTGACCCCCCCCCCCCTTCGTAACACGGCGTCACAAAAAGTCAGACCCCCCCTCAAATATGACGTCACAAAACTCTGCCCCCCCTCCCCCCCCCCAAAATATATAAAAACACACACATTCACAGACTTCTTTGGCAGAATTCAATAATTCTAATAAAACCGGCATGGCAGGACATTACTCTTAGTGTTTGATTAAAGAGACCCGTGTGAAGCCGGGTAACTTAGCTAGTATTGAATACATACTATACTTCCGATGATAATGTATGTGCATGAGTGGGGAGCGGTAGTGCAAAGGTTAATGTGCTGCGCTATGAACCAAGCGACCCAATTTATATTCCCACAGAGCCAAGCCACAACATTTGGTTGTCGCCTGATGAAGCTGGTTGTAATTACTGGTGAAACATCGTACTCAAGATTGTAAATGTTATGGCTTGACTCTCCAATACTCAACCGATGTGCTGTACTTGTGACGAATTGGCCACGTTCTGTTTACGTAACAAACCTAATTGGCTGTGTCGGTGGTAGCGGGTTTAACGAAACCTTAATATATTTACACCAAGGGTGTCGAACTCAATTTCATCTTGGGCCGCACCATGATTATGGGTGCCCTCAGAGGGCCAGTTGTATCTGTAAGACTAAATAAATGTATCTACTCTTTTATCATATTAAATAATTGCCTCTGCATTCGATTATTACTGCTTTTAGTAATAACTTAAGTAATAACTAACTCTGAATGTAGAAGTCTAGGAAAAATAATGGCAAGCAGATATTCATTTTTTTCATTTCAGTTTTCAATTTCATTTATTAGGCATAACCCTGTGAGCCATGCAGCTCTTGACTCGGGTGCAACCGCAACAAACAAAAACATGAACAAGGAACATCTTAAGGTGACTACATACAACAGAAAAATACAGGAAAAAACAGTAAAGTCTTTCTGAAAAAACACCGTTTATCGACACTGTGCAAAAATCCCGGTGGGATGCAAGACAAAAAAACCAACCATAATACAATTTAGATTAAAGTTATCAGGCTAACTCTGTACTCCAACAAACATGGCTAAACCAAAATGTTTTCAAAATCACCAAAATAAATCTATAAAAACAATGTAACAGTGGTCGTGGGAACTGTGATTCAAATTCAACAATAAACGATATATGTAACATGTACGATCAAACTTTGCAGCCATAGCTGGCTGCATGAGTCACTCCATACCAGCAGGAGTATCAGTCGCAGTATATATAAAAAATACACCTTTAAAGATATTCAAGTGTACAACTATTGTACAATTTATTGAAAAATGAGTTTTGGTAACAGAAGGTTATTTATTTTAAACAACAGACAAATATGAACAAGCACTGTTTATTACATTAACTTTGTTTAACTTTTTGGTCCCAGTTGAGACAGGCAGAACTATTACAAAACAAATAATTGTGCTCTGATCTAATGTGCAATCTGTGGCATATGAAGTTGATAAGGTGATGTTGTCTGGCCCTGTACATATCAAGTAGATCACACCTCACCTTGAGACACCATATCAAACACCTTCCTCATCCATTGATCAATTTCTGCATTTAACAAACACAAAACAAATGAAATAAAAGTGACCATTAGAATGAAAACATTGTTACATTGCACATTCTTGATTGAAATATATTTCGTGATATTGAATATACCTGAATGTTTTTTTTTAATACTTACTTATTTGATTTCTTGTAAGATAGCTGACACCGTTTTCCTGAGGTCAGTTCGTCGATATCTGGCTTTAGGTCTTGTGCAGTAGCAATCCGTAAAACAGCGTGGAGGTTGTCATCGGTGATGCGTGATCTGTGCTTGGTCTTGTTCAGATTCATAACTGAAAACACCTGTTCGCATAGGTAGGTGCTTCCAAACATGGACAGAACACGGGCAGCTTGAAGTCGGAGCTGTGGCATCAAAGCAGGGGGGATGAGACGGTAAAAGTCCTCGACTGCAGTATCCTGGAACTTTGCTCTCAGGCTACTGTTGCACTGAAGTTCTATTAATTCCATCTGAAGGTGATGTGGTGCACTGTCAACATCGATAGTGAAAGGATTGGCAAAGTTGGTAAAGGTTAAATGCTGTTCTTTAAAGTCAGAGAAGCGCCGATCGAATTCATTAATCAGCCGATTCACTTTGGTAGCCAATCGAGCACATGAAAAAGCACCCGGGAATGAGGCTGAGATGCTCTGACATATAGGAAAGTGGGCAAGACTGTCTTGTTCAAGCTGGGACTTCCATAAGCGCAGTTTCTCCTGAAAAGCTGTGATTGCGTCGTACATTGCCGTTATGACTTGTTGGCGGCCCTGCAGCATCTGATTCAGTTGGGCGAGATGCTCTGTTATATCACACAACATGGCAAAATCACACAGCCAGTTTGGATCTGACAGTTCGGGCAAGGGCTTCCCTTTACTTTGCATGAAAAGAGAAATTTCTTCCAAAAGATCAAAAAATCGCTTGAGAACGGTGCTCCTACTCAGCCACCTTACTTCTGTATGGTATGGCACAACCGTATGTTCCGTGCCCACCTCCTTCAAAAATAGTTGGAACTGACGATAATTCAGGCCCCGTGCACGAAGGAAGTTCACAGCTTTCGTGACTGTGGCCATTATGTTATCCAGTTCCAGAATCTTGCCACACAGAGCTTCTTGGTGGATAATGCAATGGTAAGTTATTAGCGGTTTTTGCATTTTATTTTTCAACAGTCCAACCAAGCCAGTTCTCTCTTCACACATTGCAGGTGTGCCATCAGTAGTAAGCCCCACCAACTTTTCCCAGGGTAATTTTATTTTACTTACGGACTCCTCCACCGCATTGAAGATGTCCCTCCCAGTTGTTGTCCCGTGCATGGCGACCACATCCAAGAGCTCCTCACTGACAGACAAGTCTGCCTTCACGCCTCTTACAAAAATGGCTAGATGAGCTGTATCAGTATTGTCAGTGCTTTCGTCAACAGCTAATGAAAACGCCAGATAACTGTGGGCTTCTTCAGCCAGCTGTGTTGTCAGATTACCCGCTAGTTCCCTGACTCGGTCTGCGATAGTGTTTCTTGACAAGCTGATATTGTTAAAAGCCTGTCTCTGCTCAGGGCACACCAGTTCGCATACCTTCAGCATGCACTGTTTTACAAATGCACCTTCTGAAAAGCACTTTGAAGCTCGGGCGATTTCTTCAGCCACAACAAAGCTGGCTTTCACTGCTGCATCATTTTTTGCTGTAATTTTTGCAGAAATATTCTGTTGAGAATGCAGACTGCCTTTTAATTCTTGGACTTTTTGTTGCTTTTCTTGGTGGTTAAGGTTAGCATACTTGGCTCCGTGTTTGGTCTCAAAGTGCCGACGTAAATTGTATTCCTTCATCACTGCCACTGCCTCGTAGCAAAGAAGACATACTGGCTTGTCTTCATTAAGCACAAACATGTATTTGCTTTCCCATCTCTCATTAAATTGTCTTCCCTCTGCATCAACTTTTCTTTTCTTGGACATTTTGGTGCTGTTTGATCGTAGTTTATGGTCCCTATAACTCTGTAAAGTGACATAGAATTGGTCAGTATATCCAAAGTGTACTGCTCCACCTGCCATGGTATGTATCCATCACCCCCAGACTTGCCAATGCATTCCCACTTATCAATCTGACCCTCAGACTTGTCAATGCATTCCTAGACTTGCCAATCTGACCCTCAGACCTGCCAATCTGACCCGCAGACTTACCAATGCATCCCAGGACTGCCAAGGCTCCCAGCACATTTTTTTAAATGAGTTTTTGTTTTAAATATGCAGCAGCACTTACTTTTTCTATGCTTTATTTGTACTTCATCCACCGTCTCCCGATGTCTTCTCCTAGTCAGGACAGGACAGGGTTCCTCTCAGACTCTCTATTTCGAGCAGCCATGCTCCCCGCGTCACCACGCATGTCACGGGACCTGAGCGTCGGGAGGTCACGTGACATGACGTGACCAGAAGTGTAACTAGACACCCCTGGGCCCCCCTAAACTACCAGTCAACCACATGAAACCACCACATGAAACCATACATCCACAGCACCAATAGCAACCATGGTAGTTACGCCACTGTATGTGTCTATTAGTGTGTGCATTAGTGTGTATTAGTGAGCATTATGTGAGTGTGTTTGTGCGTATGTATCAGTGAGCATGTATTAGTGGATGTTATGTGAGTGTTCACGAGTATTATGTGAGTGTGTATTAGTAAGTATTATGTGAGCATGTATTAGTGTGTGTGTGTGTGTATTATGTGAGCGTGTATTAGTGTGTGTTTGTGTGTATTAGTGAGTGTGTATAAGTGTGAGTTTGTGTGTTAGTGACTGATATAACGTTACTCACAGACACACTCATACACAGTCACTCGCAGACACACTCATATACAAACTCAGAGATATACACAGTCACTCATAGACACACTCATATACACACTCACAGACACACACTCATATACACACTCACTCAGAGATATACACAATATTGACAAAATATTGACAGGCAATGCAGCTCTTTAAACATACCACTATTTTGGTAGCAGATTAATCCAAACATTTTTCTGTTTGAATATGGTGAAGGCACGACCCACACAAATCAGCAAAATTTTCATCTGTGTTCCGCGACGGTTTCACTTTGAGTGCCGGGACTCAGCGCAGTTTAAACAAAAAAAAACATTCTAGGAGCCGGCTCTGGAGAGGAGAGCCGGCAAGGGGGAGGGCAGGAGGAGGCTGAGACACTTCACTGTTTATTTTTGAAACGGTGACAGTGATCGACGGGCCCCCTGTAGACGTGACCCCCGATGCTCCTAACTGCATGTAGCGCGAGAGGCGCGCCTGCTTGCTTGTAGGTATATAGAGCCGGTGCGGGGAGATCGAAAGATCTCCCCAGCCATCACCTCTGCGAGGGCCACATAAAATGGCCCGCGGGCCAAGTGTTTGACACGTGATTTACGCGATCTAACCCAAACAAACCTGTATAACGGACGTATATTTGGAGTTTGCGTGTCTCTCTCTCTCTCCCCGTGGTCGCGTGGATTTTCCTCCGGATCCTCAGGAGTTTTTCCCTGCACATTTAGAGTCAACATCACCACGCGTTTAGAGTATTTGACCGACAGACAATTCCACACGTTGATAAGCCACTTTGTTGTGGGCAGGTCGCTTCTGAAAAAGAGCGGTATAGCAGCTCAAGTGGGCTTGGCCTTGGTAAGATAAAAAAAAACTGTAGAAATATTTAAAAGAAACAAAGTTTCAAAGTAGTGAGCCAGGTGAAGACAAATTAAACTTCAGCAGAGAATTAAAGCAAATGCAATCAGGCGATGGGCAGGAGGCAAGCCCCGCAAGGCTAGGCCCCGCGTTGTAATGTTCCAACCTGGACATCGATTCCATAGTCGCTGCTACTCAATTGATATCCCTACGAGAGACAGAAGGAGCGAGGCTCTACCTGGGTAAACAACAACCACCACCACCACAACAACCACCACGATGTGAACTTCTCACCTCGGATCTCAGTGAGCGCTGGCGCGCGGATCGGCAGCTTCCTGGTATCTCGTGACGTCACGCGGCAGCAGGAGATTACATGACGTCACTTGCGGGGTTCGACACAAACCCCTCCCCTAACGAGCGGCTTTGTAACTGAATAAATTATATTTTGATTTAAAGCTTTCGTGACTGCAGTAATTCATATTCTTAGTTCTTTCGGTAAAGTCACGTTGAAGGGAAACAACAAAATAATAAAATATATAAAACAATACAAATTCTCACGACGTTTCGACCATAACACAAACGGTCGTCTTCAGGTGTGTTGGTTTGCATAAATTTATTTTTAAACGGCGCATTTATTTATTTATAAAAAAACGTTAGCGCCACGCGCAGCGATTTGGCAGTTTATTTAGGAATAGTCCATCTATATTCTGAAAAGAGGAGGGGAGAGACGAAATTTTTTTTTATAATGTATGCTGTCTGAAAGCCACTGTAAGCGTGAACAATCAATTAAGACCTGAAATGGTTTATCAAATCTTTCCAATGATTGCTAAGATAGAATCCATCTTCTCGGTTGAAATTGTCTCTGTGCTTGTATATGTGGATAGCCTCATGAACGAATCTCTCATGGTAGCCAGATGGCTTACAAAGAACCTCTGTCTTGGAAAAGTCAATGGCATGTGAGCCTACTGAATTATAACAATGATCTGTCACGGCCGAGGTGTTGGTCCTACCGTGTTTAAGGTCTGCTTTGTGTTCACGAATGTGTCTACAAACTAAGTTGCCTCTGTGGTAGTAGTTACATTGGAGAAACCAAACGCCATGTCTCGGACCGCATTGCTGAATAGCTGAGTGATTAGCTTGTAACTGGTCACAGCTATTTCAATGCTAAATTCTATGCTAATTCCTTTGTCAACGGGTGCCTCTGCGGATGTGTATGCTTTAACTTAGCTATTTCAATGCTAAATTCTATGCTAATTCCTTTGTCAAGGGGTGCCTCTGCGGATGTGTATGCTTTAACTTTAACATAGCCATTTCTGTGACCAGTCACAAGCTAATCACTCGGCCATTTCAATGCTAAATTATATGCTAATTCCTTTGTCAAGGCGCTTTGTTTCTTCTGACACAGCTTAAAGGTCGTGATCTGAACGTGGCTTTTTTCACTCCAGCGCTGTCCTACCAGACAGTCTCGTCCCTTCACCTGATGAAGGCCGCTTGTGTTGTGGCCGAAACGTCGTGAGAATATTATTGTGTTATTTTATTTTATCAATTTATTATTTTATTCTCATTCTACGTGGTGACTTTACCGAAAGAACCAAAGAAGATGAATCCTTGCAGTCACGAAAGCTTTCAATCGAAACTTAACGTGAAGACAGCGACGACGGCCCCGAGTCCCTCTCCACGGGCCACGAACATCCCTTCTTGTCCTGCTTTTATCCTCGTGGATTCTCTGGGGGAATTTCCCCAGCTGTCTCTTTTGGACACTGGGGAATTTCCCAACGAAGATCCTCCAGACTTGCTGGCGCCTTCTCTTTGCGTCCAGCCTCGCTGGCATCGTGCCTTCACCTCCAGACTTGGTGACACAATCTTTACACACGTCTACACTGCGTATGTGTACTCTGCATCCCACCGGGATTTTTTTTGCACACAGCGTTGGTGTACGGTGCTTTTTTCAGGAATATTTTTGCTGTTTTTTTCCATGGATTTTTAAGATGTTTTTCTTGTTCGTGTTTTTGTTTGTTGTGGTTGCACCCGATTCAAGAGCCAAATGGCTCACAGGGCTATACCAAAATAAACTGAACTGAACTGTGTGGGTGGTCCGAATCAGTCGGGCAGCATTATCTTAACAGATGCGCAATGCTGTGTGGAAGCTACCTGATTTATTGGTCACGCACGAAGCTTTGGTTCTTCTCCGCCACAGTCATACCCTCCCTCTATAGGCATGTGAAACGTGGACCTCTCTAAATGGAACATCCGCGCTGGTTAAAACATTCAGGCTGGCATGCCTACACTCAGATTGAGGGAAGCCAAGTGGTCGAGCATTCTTTATTTATTGCAGAGGTATCAAGGTTCAAATCTGACAGGCACCCCTGGCTACTCCAGTAACATTAAACAAAATAAACACCGTCTGCTTAACAGTGGATGTAAAACATAGTATTGTCATTCAAAACACATAGGTCATTGCATGTTGGTATCATTGTCAACGTTTGGGTAATTCTAAATATTATCCAGAAATTACATAACGGATGTTACACATCAATCATCGCCCTCTACTAACAGACTCATGCCCACATGCAGGATGGTGCAGGGCCACCTTATGCCACACAGGGGCACCTCCCATTTGGGGGTGCTCTTCTAGTGTTTGTGATGAGATATGATAATGAAACTAAGCGTTGCTGAGGCGATTAAGCAAGCACCATATGAATGCAATTATTATAACATGGTGAATGCTTTGGAGCTTATTGGCTCTCGCTCCTGGTTAGACATCTACCTAAGCAACAGGTTAACAAATACTGGCCACTCTTACTCTGCAGGTTGAACTTCACATTATTTTCATTAAAGGCCTGTGACAAAAGTGAATTTATTGGAGCTTCATTGTCTCAAGCTTACACATTTACCCGGGTCTCTATTTGACTTTGTATTGTCAAAGAAGTCCACCCACACCGCCACTTCCACAAACTGCCAGGAGTTGCCTCGCTCTCCCACACAGCCATAATTCTCCTCCTGTTTCACGTTGCCTCCACCGATGTGAAGGTGCGATTTTGTAGTTGAATCCTCATCTCCACATTTTACCTTCACTTCTTCGCTCTCCACTGTTGCCTCTTCACATTTCACCTTGATACATTTCATAGTGTCCAAGCTGGAATTTACTTCTGGTTCTTTTTTCAGGAGGGATGGGCTCATTGCAGCACTTTGACTTCCACAAGTCGATTTCAGACTACACTCCTTGGGGATCTTCTTATGCCTGTGTGTTCTCTGGTGTCTATGAAGATGTGGTCACTGTGCAAACGCCTTCCCACACACAGTGTACTTGAAGGGTTTCTCTCCTGTGTGCGTTCTCTGGTGTATTTTAAGATGTGGTGACTGTGCAAATGCCTTCTCACACACACTGCACTTGAAGGGTTTCTCTCTCGTGTGTGTTCTCTGGTGGCTCTGAAGATCTGATGACTGTGCAAATGCATTCCCATACACACTGCACTTGAAGGGTTTCTCTCCTGTGTGTGTTCTCTGGTGTTTTTTAAGATGTGATGACTGTGCAAATGTCTTCTCACACACAGTGCACTTGAAAGGTTTCTCTCCTGTGTGCGTTC